CATGTTTCATTGCCAAAGCTTCATTGAACAAGCTGAGGTTAGAAGCTGATTGGTTTCTATGCAGAAGAGAGTCTGATTTTGGACTCTCCAGCTTTAGTAAATAAACCCCATTGTGCCTGAAGACAGGGGCTTCTGCTGTGCTCTCTCTTTAAATAACCCATAGTGCTTTATGAATCCTTTGTCATTTATCAGATGTTAGTATGTAAAACAAAATCGTATTTACATGGAAAAAAATACAAAAAACATCAGGTTAAAAACATATAAACCTTAAACAAAATTATAATAACATAAACCCAAATCATTATAGTTTTCCTTTAAAGTGTTTGCATCAGTCCTTGAATAATGTACATTCCTTTTAATTCATAGATTCGATCCAGATAGAAGATGTGTTTGGCCTTAATGGACAAATCGAACATAAGTTGTCTTTCCTGCAGCAGAATATTCCAACTGACATGAAACTGATTCTTATCGGTCATTCCATTGGATGCTACATCATACTGGAGATGATGAAGCAATTACCTGGTCTTAAGGTAAGTCAGTAGCTTTGGAAGAAATCCACCAAAAAGGAGGAAGAGTTTTCAAGTTTTTTTTTTTTTTTATATATAAACTGTGGGTTTTATAAAGTGTGTCTCAAGTTAAACATTTTTTTTAGGTTTGAGTTGAGTTTACAATACTTATAACTCCTGTCAATTTTTAATTTTGGCTATTTGTGTATCATTGGAAATAATTATTTTTACTTATTGGGACAATGACCGGAAGATTTATTAAAACTGGAGAATGCAAAATCTGGTGCAGCTTTGCATAGAAACCAATCAGCTTCTAACTTCAGCTTGTTCAATCAGGCTTTGTCAATAAAACCTGGAAGCTGATTGTTTTCTCTGCAGAGATGCACCAGATTTTGCACTCTCCAGTTTTAGCAAATCAACCCCTAAGTGTCTGCCTGTTGTGTTTATGGGACATAACACAACAGGTAGTAAGAGAAAACCTCTTAAAAATAAAAAAAAATCCTCTCTTAGCAAGTTGTTACCAAACATATGCCCTAATTAGAAGATATCTTCTCTGCTCCTGTTTCATTGATAATTCATAATTATAATTTATGCTTCACTTTCAGCCCCATTGACAATGGTCAGCAGTAGGGATGAGCTCAGGCCTGTTCATACACAAGCGACCCCTTCTGACCTATTCTGCCAAGAAGCTAAAGTCAACAGTCAGTCATAAATGGCGGAAGCTTTCCCCTGCCCTGAAACTGCATGCATGCAGGGGGGTGTAAATATGTGTGGTTGCAGGGCAGGGAATGTCTCTGCTGCCTATGGTTGGCTTTCAGCTAGGACAGCTTTCTGGCAGGATAGCTCAGGTGGGTTTGGACTCGTGTCCAAAGACGCCTGAGCTCATCACTGTTTACAGTACAGATAACGAGAGAGAATCCACCTAGGGAGAACAGTGACAGCAATAAAAAACACTTGACAGATGTACTAACATTCCCCATTTTAGCCACACAGAAAGACATTATTTATTTAAAACATTAAAAACAACCTTAAGCCTCTATTGTTTATGTAAGTTATGTACAGTTGCAAGAAAAAGTATGTGAACCCCTTGGGATTACGTGGAGTTTTGCATGAATTGGGCATAAAATGTGCTCTGAACGTCATCTAAGTCACAACAATAGAAGAACACAGTCTGCTGAACATAATACTACACAAACATTAGATGTTGCCATGGTTTAATTGCACATAACATGTACACATTCACAGTGCAGGGAGGAAAAAGTATGTGAGGCCCTAGCTTAATGACTTCTCCCAGAGCTAATTGGAGCCAGGAGTGAGCCAACCTTGACTCCAATCAGTGTGATGATATTGGATGTGTTGCTGACAGCTGTCCTGCCCTTAAAAAACACACACCTGTTTTGGGTTTACTGGTTTCAAGAAGCACTGTCTGATGTGAACCATGCCTCACAGAAAAGCTCTCAGAAGACCTACGATCAAGAATTGTTGACTTGCATGAAGCTGGAAAGGGTTACAAAAATATCTCCAAAAGCCTTGATGTTCATGTGTCCACCGTAAGACAGACTGTCTACAAATGGAGAAAGTTTAGCACTGTTGCGACTCTCCCTAGGCGTGGCCGTCCTGTAAAAATGACTGCAAGAGCACAGCGCAGAATGCTGCATGAGGGTAAAGAAGAATCCCAGAGTGTCAGCTAAAGACCTACAGAAATCTCTGGCACATGCTAACATTTTTGTTGACACATCTACAATAAGGAAAACATTAAACAAGAATGGAGTACATGGGAGGACACCACGGAGGAAGCCATTGCTGTCCAAAAAGAATATTGCAGCACATTTGAAGTTTGCAAAAGAGCACCTGGATGTTCCACAGCACTACTGGCAAAATATACTGTGGACAGATGAAACCAAGATTGAGTTGTTTGGGAAGAACACACAACACTATGTGTGGAGAAAAAAAGGCACAGCACACCAACATCAAAACCTCATCCCCACTGTAAAACATGGCGGAGGGAGCATCATGGTTTGGGGCTGCTTTGCTGCCTCAGGGCTTGGACGGATTGTTGTCATTGATGGGAAAATGAATTCCAGAGTTTATCAAGACATTTTGCAGGAAAACGTACGACCATCTGTCCGCCAACTGAAGCTCCGCAGAGGATGGGTGATGCAACAGGACAATGACCCAAAGCATACAAGTAATTCAACAAAACAATGGCTGAAACAGCACAGAATACGCCTTCTGGAGTGGCCCAGTCAGAGTCCTGACCTCAACCCGATTGAAATGCTGTGGCATGACCTTAAGAGAGCGATTCACACCAGACATCCCAAGAATATTGCTACACTGAAACAGTTTTGTGAAGAGGAGTGGTCCAAAATTACTCCAGATCATTGTGCAGGTCTGATCTGCAACTACAGGAAACGTTTGGTTGAGGTTATTGCTGCCAAAGGAGGGTCAACCAGTTATTAAGTCCAAAGGTTCACATACTTTTTCCTCCCTGCACTGTGAATGTTTTCATGTTATGTGCAATTAAACCATGGCAACATCTAATGTTTGTGTAGTATTATGTTCAGCAGACTGTGTTCTTCTATTTGTTGTGACTTAGATGACGTTCAGAGCACATTTTATGCCCAATTCATGCAACACTCCACGTAATCCCAAGGGGTTCACATATTTTTTTCTTGCAACTGTAAGTTTTATTTTGCGCGGTTTTACCACATTTACATGCAAGGCGCTTGAATGGGCTGCCCTATGCACCACACATACACCAAAGAAGCTCCTGCACCTTTTTGAGCAATGAGCTTCTTGCGTTTTTTTTCACAAGCGTTTCAACACAATTCTGCATGTTTTTGTCACGTGACAATCGTGGCAAAATCAGTCAGAACTTCTGAACATTCTTGTTTTGGGTTACAGGATCTGCATTAGATCCAGGCAATCAGCATTTTTACAAGGATGTGAGCAATGGCAGACTTCTTATTTCTTCCAGCTCAATTATTCTTTGCAGATGTCTAAATAAATACAAAGTATATGTAAATGAAATCCTTTTTTGCTTAGAGTAGGTATGGATTCAAACCCTTGACAGATTATTTTATGCTGGCAGAATTTTCCTTTCACTTCCTACCCTGGAGATGCAACAGGAAGTTAGTAGAAATCTCCCAAAGTGAGGGGATTCCCCTCTTACACAGTTGTCCTGGCCTGTCCTGGTTTGGGAATATGTCAGTATTGGAAGATCCCCCTTTACCTCTTGTTCTACGGACATTTCAAAAATTCTGAATTTCCTCTCATTTTCTTTCTTTGTGACAGAGGTCCCAACTACAAATAGAGGGGCGAATCTCCCCTGCAAGGGTCTACCTTTGCCCACTCTGTCCAAAACTAAAAAGTTTTGCCTAGAGATACACTTAAACCTTTTGTCTATCAAGGTAAGTTTATAATATGTCCTGGTGGTCAAGAGGTTAATGCAAGCTCATTGCAGCAGAATGGTATTGACTTTTCAAGCTGGCAGTTCTTTCAGGTAAAAGTGATCACTTTACGGGGCTCCCTTATTTGGACATTGAGCGTGACAATATGGACCAGTTAAATTATTCTTTACAAGCAATTAGTTACTATTTGGAGTGGAAAAATAAGCAGCGTACTAGACTCAGAACCCATAGAGATTATGTGTCTGTACTTCCACCAAAGCATTTGTTTTGTAGTTCTCAAGAAGAGCTGGGAACAAGCCTGAAAAAAAGAAATGAATGCAGTTACTACATTTAAGGAGTGGTAAGCTGTAATATATTGCATTTTTGTTTTTGGGATTAGATATACTTTACTGCCTGCTAAAAGCTAGCAGTACTTTACCACAGCGACTAGTTCCCCAGTGCCATTTTAAAATGGCATCAGGACTCCACAGCTCCTGGGGGGTCCCAGTTGGAATGTAGGCTGGAACTACTGGCTGTCAGCACCTAGGAGCTGATAGAATTAGCGTGTTAGCTTCTAATCTTCCTACACAGCCTTCCATGGGAGCACTTGTAGCAGATCCAGTAAACGCAATGCTTAATCACTTGCCCTCCTGAGGATTTACCCCCCTTCCTGACATGGCCATTTTTTGCATTACGGCACTGCGTTACTTTAACTGACAATTGCGCAGTCATACAATGCTGCACCCAAATTAAATTTATGTCCTTTTTTACCACAAGTTTAGCTTTCTTTTGGTGGTGTTTGATCGCCTGTGCTGTTTTTTTTTATTTTTTGCGTTATAAAAAAAGACAATTTTGAAGTAAAAAAAAATATTTTTGACTTTTTGTTATTAAACATGTCCAGTAAAAAAATTTAAAAAATACAATTTTGTCATAAATTTAGGCCAAAATGTATTCTGCTACATGTCTTTGCAAAAAAAAAATATCAATACGTGTAAATGAAATGGTTTACTTGAAAGTTTTAGCGTTTACAAATGGCGGTATAGGTACTGGAATTTTTCATTATTCTTACTAGTAATGGCGGCGATCAGCGATTTATAGTGGGACCGCGGGACTGCGGTGGGCATTCTGACACTGGGGGGAACTGACTTGGTGTCACTGACATCCCCAGTGACACTAATACAGTGATTAGTGCTAAAAAAAAAGCACAGACACTGTACTAATGGCACTGGGCAAGAAGGGGTTAACATGAGGGGCGATTAAAAGGGTTAACTGTGTGCTGTATTTACTTGTGTCTGTGTGTCTCTGCTTCAATAGTGTGCACAAACTGACAGGGAGAAGAACTGTATTGTTTACATACAGTTCTCCTCCCCGTTGGAGATGCTCGGTAATCACTGGGCTCTGGCGAGATTGACAGCCGCGGCCTGCAAATGGTGGCGCGGTTAGGGCGCGTGTGCCCCCTACCCAGAAATGCAAAATCACATATATATATATATATATATATATATATATATATATATATATATATATATACACAGTCAGGTCCATAAATATTGGGACATCGACACAATTCTAACATGTTTAGCGCTATACACCACCACAATGGATTTGAAATGAAACAAACAAGATGTGCTTTAACTGCAGACTCTCAGCTTTAATTTGATGGTATTTACATCCAAATCAGGTGAACGGTGTAGGAATTACAACAGTTTGCATATGTGCCTCCCACTTGTTAAAGGGACCAAAAGTAATGGGACAGAATAATAATCATAAATCAAACTTTCACTTTTTAATACTTGGTTGCAAATCCTTTGCAGTCAATTACAGCCTGAAGTCTGGAACGCATAGACATCACCAGACGCTGGGTTTCATCCCTGGTGATGCTCTGCCAGGCCTCTACTACAACTGTCTTCAGTTCCTGCTTGTTCTTGGGGCATTTTCCCTTCAGTTTTGTCTTGAGCAAGTGAAATGCATGCTCAATCGGATTCAGGTCAGGTGATTGACTTGGCCATTGCATAACATTCCACTTCTTTCCCTTAAAAAACTCTTTGGTTGCTTTTGCAGTATGCTTTGGGTTATTGTCCATCTGCACTGTGAAGCGGCGTCCAATGAGTTCTGAAGCATTTGGCTGAATATGAGCAGATAATATTGCCCAAAACACTTCAGAATTCATCCTGCTGCTTTTGTCAGCAGTCACATCATCAATAAATACAAGAGAACCAGTTCCATTGGCAGCCATACATGCCCACGCCATGATACTACCACCACCATGCTTCACTGATGAGGTGGTATGCTTAGGATCATGAGCAGTTCCTTTCCTTCTCCATACTCTTCTCTTCCCATCACTCTGGTACAAGTTGATCTTGGTCTCATCTGTCCATAGGATGTTGTTCTAGAACTGTGAAGGCTTTTTTAGATGTCGTTTGGCAAACTCTAATCCGGCCTTCCTGTTTTTGAGGCTCACCAATGGTTTACATCTTGTGGTGAACCCTCTGTATTCACTCTGGTGAAGTCTTCTCTTGATTGTTGACTTTGACACACATACACCTACCTCCTGGAGAGTGTTCTTGATCTGGCCAACTGTTGTGAAGGGTGTTTTCTTCACCAGGGAAAGAATTCTTCGGTCATCCACCACAGTTGTTTTCCGTGGTCTTCCGGGTCTTTTGGTGTTGCTGAGCTCACCGGTGCGTTCCTTCTTTTTAAGAATGTTCCAAACAGTTGTTTTGGCCACGCCTAATGTTTTTGCTATCTCTCTGATTGGGTTTGTTTAGTTTTTTCAGCCTAATGATGGCTTGCTTCACTGATAGTGACAGCTCTTTGGATCTCATCTTGAGAGTTGACAGCAACAGATTCCAAATGCAAATAGCACATTTGAAATTAACTCTGGACCTTTTATCTGCTCATTGTAATTGGGATAATGAGGGAATAACACACACCTGGCCATGGAACAGCTGAGAAGCCAATTGTCCCATTACGTTTGGTCCCTTAACAAGTGGGAGGCACATATGCAAACTGTTGTAATTCCTACACTGTTCACCTGATTTGGATGTAAATACCCTCAAATTAAAGCTGACAGTCTGCAGTTAAAGCACATCTTGTTTGTTTCATTTCAAATACATTGTGGTGGTGTATAGAGCCAGAAATGTTAGAATTGTGTCGATGTCCCAATATTTATGGACTTGACTGTATATATACGTGATTTTGTGCACCCATGCCGCCCTGTAGCAGTATATCTGCTATAGGGCAGTCGGGAAGCTGTTGAAGTAGAACTACAGGCAAAACATTTTGGGTTTTTTTTGGATTTTGGATAGAATAAGGGAGGGTTATAACCCCTGTTAGATTTTTTTTTCACCATCTTTGTCCCATTGCAGAGATCTCCCTTCATTTCCTATCCCATAGCCAAACAGGAAGTGGGAGAAAATCCCCTCAAATTAAGAGAATTCCTTTAGGACCTCAGGTCACCAAAACTAGTGTCTTTATTGGAAGATTTCCCCTCTATTACTTTTCTGCAGACAACCCAAAATGTGGGATATTTTCTTTTACTTTCACTTTCAATTATTATGATAAAACAGGACAAATAGAGAGGGCGAATTTCCTTAATGGGGACACAGACAGCAATAACAACTGATTGGTATTCTAATCCCTTTCCACTCTATCCAAAACTAAAAAAAATGTTGGCTTTAGTTTACTTTAAAGTTATTGTAAACCTATTTTTTGAAAATAATGAACATGTTATACTTGCCTGCTCTGTGCAATGGCACAGAGCAGCCCTGATCCTCATCCTCTTGGGTCCCTCCATTGGCATTCCTGGCTCCTCCTTCCTTCCAAGTGCCCCCATAGCAAGCAGTTCATTAGCACACAGAGTGGGGCGTGGCCCAGCCCCTTGCTTTCTATTCACTGGCTGTTATTGACAGCAGCAGGAGCCAGTAGCTCTCACAGCTGCCTCACTGTCCAGTGAGGAGAGAGAGAACAAAAGAGCCACTGCTTTTGGGCACAGTGCTGGATTGAGATTGGGCTCAGGTAAGTATTTAAGGGGGATGGGGGGGGGGTTCTGCATACAGAACATTTTTTTACCCTAATACAGAGAATACGTTAAGGTAAAAAACCTTCTGCCTTTACAACCAATTTGTTAAAATAAAAAGTAATTGTGTTTCAGTAGGTATGTAATATATGTGTGTGTGTGTGTGTATGCGTGTACATTTTATTATATTTTCCACTAGTTGTCAGTGCACATGTAGCCAAGAGCACAGTGGCTAAATGGTTACCACTTCCACCTGGCAGTACTAGGGTCGTTGGTTCGAATCCCAACCATGGCACCACCTGCCTGGAGTTTGCATGTTCTCCCTGTGCCTGCGTGGGTTTCCTCTGGGTACTCCGGTTTCCTCCCACACTCCAAAGACATACTGGAAGGTTAATTGGATCCTGTCTAAATTGGTCCTAGTATGTGTAGGTATGAATGTGAGTTAGACCTTAGCTTGTACGCCCCTTGAGGGTTGGGGACTGATGTGACTATACAATATATATGTAAAGGCTGCGTAAATTGATGGCGCTATATAAGTACCTGAAATAAATAAATAAGAGAAAATGGGCTTGGGTGCTCAGCAAAGTGTAAAGTACATATAATACAGTGGATGAGGTGGCTCTCATGGGGTTTGAAAGGTTAACACTCAGTGATACGGTTTATTTCGATGCAGCACAAGGCACAAGGTCCTGAGGAAGATAAGCTTGAAAAGTTGAAATAAACCTTATCGCTAAGTGTTAACCTCCCTGGCGGTATTCCCGAGTGTAGCTCGGGGTAAAATGTCAGTACCAAAAGCGGTAACCCCGAGCTACACTCGGGCTTACCATGCGGCGTTGCATAGGGATTCCCTGCAGAGCTTAGCTTGTCCTTCGCTCCCGCGATGTGTCCCCTGCAGCGTCCCCGGCCATCTCCTCTGGCTGATGCCGGCATCCGGCTTCTGTGTTCTGGTCCCTGTGACGTCGGGACGTACGGGCGCGGCGGCGGCGGGGGAAATTTGAAAATTTAAAAAACAAATGTAATTTTTTTCAAAACAAATTTTACATAGTAAAACATTGCTGTTTCAAACCATTTCACATACATTTTGTCCCTAGTGCTTTGTCCTGTCCCCTGTCTGCATTTTTACTGTTCTTTCTGCCTGGAAATTTAGAAAAGTCCATGGCGTCCAAAAAGCGTCCCTTTAGGTCAAAAGCGGGTTTAGATCAGCTAGAGAACAGCGATAGTAAATCAGAACCACTTGCAGAATTGAGTGATAATGATTCGTGGAGAAATTCGTCATCAGACACTGAAAACAATTTTGCGACTTTGCTCAGCGATCTGCGAACTTGGCGCTATATTTCAAATTTCAGTGTTTTTGGTTTGATTATATTATTGAATTAAATGTATTATTATTATATTATTATTTTTTTTATGATTATTTATTAAATTATAATTTATGATTTTGTGTTTCAAATTTTATCATACCCGGGATGTTTACTAGACTCTTGTTCGGACAGATTTCAGTGAGTTATTCCTAAATATTACAGGCCTACAATAAAAAAAACTACATATTTCCATGCAAAATAATGGTACCGCTTTCAGCACCAAAAATCTGAAATAATCAGACCGCTAGGGAGGTTAAATAAAGAGGAAAAGATTGGCTATAAAAATTCATGGTAACAAGAAGGTATCCTCAAATTTCAGGGGTGGAAAATGGTGTACCCAAGGTTGCAATAGTTTAGTGTGATATTCAACACTAGCTGGTAGGACCTCATCAAATTTAGTGTGGATCATGGCCTTAGTAACACTATTTTCTGTTTCCACAATACTAAGAGAGTTGGTCTTCCAGGCTTTCATGATGGTTTGTTTGGCAGCAGTTGTCACTTGGAGGAATAGTTTGTGTCCAACCTGTGTTAAGCTGTGAGGTCGCAAATTTAGTAGGACTGAAAGGGGATCTGGAACTAGTTCAGTTGCCATTAGGGTAGAAATAATCTTGCCTATATCAGCCCAGAAGTGTTGCACTATGGGGCCTTGAGTCTTGCTATTTCTTTACATTATATTAAAATTACATTCTTGTGAAATCATGTTAATCAGCAGACTTTGCCATTTAAATCTGGTGCTGTGCTAATAATTTAAATTTCTTGGTGGAAAGAATTACGGGAAAATGCCTTTTTTTAATATTTGAATATTTCTTCCTAATTAAACCAAACAAGTAAAAAAAAAAAAAAATATAATAAAAAATAAAATATATATATATATATCCAAACCTACTATCAAATTAAAGCACTATCTGTCCAAAGAAAAATCATGTATATGTGTAGAGTACAAAAGACTAAAAAAATATAAGTTGTGGAACAGGGACATCAGTGAAACTAACAGAATGCACTGGGACTCAATGGTGTTATAGGGGAAAAGGCCCAGGGTCTCAAGTTGTTAAGAAGTAATAATCCACAAGACAATCTTCGTAACGTCACTGTCACATA